GGATATAACTCAGTGGCACAGGTGCCTGCCTGGCAAATGAAATCCTGAGTTCAATTCCTGGTACCAAAAAATAAAAAAATAAAAAAAAATAATAAAAATCAATAATTAATGTCTCAACATATATTTTTAAGCTCCAGTTATTACAGGTATTGATGAGCTATGAACAAGAAAATGTAAAAATAAATAATAAATAAATAAATACATAAATAAATAAACAAATTTTGCTCTTGGGACTACAGTTGTTCCTCACTATATTGCAGCTCACTTATTGTGGTTTCACTGTACTGCAGGTTTTTTAAAAATTATATTGAATTCTGTATCATGGAGTTTTTGCTATATCACAGGATTTTGTGGTGTATAGATATTTATATAATATGATTTTAATTATTTTTGCTTAAAAATTTAAAAAAATGTAAAAATATAAAAAATGTTAATTCAAACATAGTAAAATAATATTAAATCAAAATAAAATACATTATGTGTTTCATCTGCTGATGAATACCATACTGTACACAATGGAAGTACAGTACACCACTACCACTTGCACAAGTTGGTCAACATGAGACTATACATGGCACACCATTGGCTGATGGAATGGAAAGTGACAAACCACAGCATTGTGTTCTGTATTCCAGGTGCTGATTAGCTCAGCGACCATAGCATTGGTCTGTTTGCTCTCCTGCACTGTGCCCATACATTCAGCATCTCTCTTTGTCCACTTCATATTGAGTACTCATATAGAATTTTACATGTTGTTAAAATTACATAGGTTTAAGAGTTTAGAAAGTTTTTAAGAGCCTATGAAGTGTTTATAAGCGTGTGGGAAAGGTTAATAAAATAGTGGGAAAGGTTCATAGGAGTGTTCAAAGTGTTTATAAAACAAAATATATATAATGCCACTACTTTGCAGATTTTCACCTATTGTGGGGGGTCTATGGAATGTAACTTGCAATAGATTAGGGATCAGTGTACTTTTATTGTGTCCCACATGTTCTGGTATGTTGTATCTACATTTTCATTTAATTGTACATATTGTTTAATTTCCTCTTTAATTTCATCTGTGAACTATTGGTGTTCAGGAGGGTATTATTTGCTCTGTGTTTATGAAGTTTTTGTGGTTTCTTTTGCCACTAATTTATAATTTCATTGCTCTATGGTCAATAATACACAAGGGATCATTTCAATTCTTTTGTGTTTATTTAAGCATATTCTATGCACTACTATATGGTCTATTTTAGAGAACATCCCATGTTCAGCTGAGAAAAATGTGTATTCTGATGTTGGCTGCAGCACTGTGAACATCCACTAGTCATTTGTTCACAAGTTTGGTTCAATTCTGATATTTTTCTGCTGATTTTTTGTCTAGCTGATCTATCTCTTTGTGACAATGGAGTATTAACGTCCCCCATTACAACTGTGTTATTGCTTATTTGATTTTTTATGTCTATTAATATTAGTCTTATATCATTGGGTACCCTTGTATTTAGTGTATATATATTTATATTTGTTTTCTCTTCCTCTTGAATTTTTCCTCTAACAAGTATGCAGTGACTTTATCTCTTTTCATCATTCTTGGTTTGAAATTTACATTGTCTGAAAACAGAATAGCTATGTTTACTTTTCTCCAGGTTCCTATTGCATGGTATATTGTTTTCCATCTTTTGATTTTCAGTGCATGTATGTCTTTTGAGTTAAATGTGTTTCTTGTGTATAGAATATTGTTGGATCTTGTTTCTTGATTCATTCTGCCAATCTGTTTCTTTTGACTGGTGAATTGAGGCCATTTCCATTGATGGTTATAATTGATATGTATTGGCTTATCTTTGTCATGTTATTTTCCTGCTGTTGGTCCCCACTTTTGCCCACTGTTTAATTGCTTGCTTTGATTTGTAGTTACTTTCTGGTGCTGTTCTGGGAATTGTGGTCATTTTTATCTATTTCTAGGATGTTTAAGATGCTTTGTAGTGTTGGTTTGGTGGTCATGAATTTCTTGAGTTGTTCTTTGTTATGAAGAATCTTATTTCTTCGTTAATTTTGAAACTTAGTTTTGCAGGGTACATCAAATCTGGATTGGAAGTTTTCTTTCAGGACAGGAAATACTTCACTCCAAGCTCTTCTTGGTTTGATGGTTCGTGTTGAGAAGTGTATTGTGATTCTGATGGGCTTTCCTTTATATGTGATCTGTGCCTTTTCTCTAACATCTTTTAATATTCTATTCTTGTGCTGATTTTCTGGTATTTTTATTATATGTTTAAGTGAAGTATTATTTTGATTATGGCTAATTGGAGTTCTATATGCTTCACTTATGTGTATGTCAGATTTGTTTTCTCTGCTTGGGAAATTTTCTGCTATTTTTTCTACAATATTTTTTATATTTTGTGGGCTCACTCCTGAGCTTTTATCAACATTAATTATGCTTATATAAAAATTTTTGCATTGTTTTCCAGCTGTTGAATTGCAATTTCCTGATTTTTTATTATTTTTCAGAGATCTTTCTTTTCATGATTTCTAGGTGAGAACCTATCTTCAAGGTCTAAACATCTGTCTTCAGTTTTGTTCAAGCATTTTGCCCAGCTTTCTATGGAATTTTTAATTTCCTGAATATCTGTTTGAATCTGTTTCATACATTTTTCTTTTCCTTTCCTATGCTGATCATTCATGGTTTCCTTCTTCTTCTTATCATCTATTTTTATCTATCTCTACTCTAGATTTGCTGAGCAATTGTTTTATAAATGTTGACTTTTTTACATAAGAGATTATTTCTGATCTGATTTCCTTTATAGCTTCATGAATTTGTTTCTTTATTTTGCTTGCTATCATTTCATATACGTCAGGTGTGTGTCTTCCATTTTCCTTTATCTCATTGTCTCCTGGATTTGTTCTGGATGGGCTGGAGTTCTTAGGTTACATTTTGCTTCTGTGTCTTGTCATTTTCTATTTCAAAAGTTTTTATTTTGTTTTCTGTGTTTATCCTTGTAAGTTTTTGTATTAGGTAGCTTTATCACTAGTATCAAGGCCTCTGTAGGCAAACT